TTTTTTTTTTATTTAACATTTACATTTATTAATGACTTATTTATCTTACGACTTTTTATATTTTTAAATTAAATTTTTTTCACAGACAATCGAATCAACGAATAATAAATATTATGGTAAAATTGATGTTGTTTTCGTTTATCGATAATTTCGAACATACGACCTTTCGTACACAAAGTCTTTCGAACAGACAATCTTTCGTACACTTGAAATTCGGACATATGGCATTCGAACACATGATTTTCGAACATATGACACGCTACCCTAAGAATTACGTAGTTTACAGTTTACTGCGAAAGTTCAAATAATATTTTGCTAATGAATAGTACCTATTTTCTGGTATAAGATGAAATATACATTATTCAATTTTCAAAGCAGTTTTAAAATATTTCGTCATTCGTCAACAATATTTTGCAATACTTCAGTAATAAATAGAACTACAAAAAAATTGGGGGGTTTTAACCCCCAGGACACCACACTGCTTACAATACACCTACATAAGGGCGCTGCATTTTTATTTTCCCTGGGCGTCAAATTTATCAGATCCGGTTCTAATAATTGTACCTATACATATTAGTGTGTAATACTTAATTAATCATTCAATGCATTCGGATTCGATATATTTTTTGAAAAGTATTTATAATTTTATATATATATATATATATATATATATATTAATTATAACTACGCACACAATAGTTCTTATAGTCAAATAATATACATAATAATGTAATTATTTTTTCATAGCATCATTGTATATATATTATACACCATACTGACTGTAGTCTACAGATTTTGTTAGTGATTTTAGTCTCACCGTTTTCTGTAATAAATGAATTTGTAACGGCTGAGCAAAAATATAAATATAATTTATCGAAGAAACGTTATAATATTATTTGCATTGATTATTGATAACCCCGTCTGCATATTATCATTTATGTCTCACGGATAGTGTTTTTCTGTTAATTTTCTATTATTGGTCCGTACACTCGTTCTGAGATTCAGCGATTTCACTTCTGTTCCATCGCTGCGAACCAACTCGTTACTAACGGACTCACCATCTCGCTTCCTGTCCATTACCTCGTCGACAACTTCTTCTCCAAAGTCTTCTGTAATTTGATGTCCAATACTTTGTGTTGTCTCGTCGTAAATGTCTCCTTCTAAGTCTTCCGTCGCGCAGTATTCAACGTTCGGTGACGTCTCCTCAAAAACGTCTTCCCCTATCTCTTCTGAAACATGATGTTCGGAATTCTGTGGCATTTCATCACCTTCTGCAAAGAGCTGTTCAACTTATGGTATCATTTGATCGACAACTTCATGGTAGGATTCCTCTGAGCCGTATTCCAGCACTTTTTCAATGGTTTCCTTATCAGGTGAAAATTGATTCGATACTTCATCCCTCTGCAGCAACGCGAATATCTTACTAAGAATATCTTTTTTCCATTTTAAAAGCATTTTGTATACGTCCAATACCTGGTGCCAATTTTTTTCCAATGTAATATTATTGACCGTGTTGAAATTATATTTAATGCTAATCTGTAAGACAATAATTTAAACACTCATGAACTTATCAGTAGCACTGAAAACATAATGATTTTGGAGGAAGCAAGGAACATTATGACGACTGTAGTGAGCGTTTTTTCCCCGTTTTTTTTTATAAAAAAACAAAAATTATACCTATAAACATCAATTTAATTCTAATCATAAATAAATAATTTAAACATTTACTTTATTCACACTATTGTACCAAGAATAGTCTTCTCTTATTAATTGGCGGCCCATTTCAACTTTTTTCTAAAAGGGAAAAAAGAAAACATAAATCACAAATAATTAAATAATCATAGTTTTCAATATTGTTACAAATCGAAAGTTTTAAGAAATAAAACAAATATCAAAAATCAAAACGACCAACGCACATCATGTGAGAACACACAGATTTATTAGTCATTATTTTTATAATATCATTATTTTCGTTTTGTTTAATACAAAAGCATACGAACAACAATAAAAAAGTCGACTAATATTTAATTTAAAACGATTTGTTATTGTTATTCTAAAAACGAAAAAAATAGAACAATAGAATAATAGATAGAATAATAGTACCGAAATATAAGTACACCTCTTTTCAATGAACTAAAACAAGTTAAATGAGTTGATATGAAATTGAAGTACAATTTAATGGACACGCGGAAACACTGTTTTGTAACTTTGAAAAATGGAGTTCCGATATTTTATTAACATTATAATAATAATATATATTATAATATAATAATAATATAATAATAATAATAATAAATAATTAATATAATAATAATATATATATTATAATATAAATAATAAACCTTAGAAATAGACAGGACGAATAAAAATAAGAAAAAAAACCTAATTATTGCACAAAGATAACAAAATAATATCGTTATAAATAAATCGTTATTTTACATTTCATATGGACACTATTAAACAGTATTATTTTTTGAGACCACGTGCAACACCAGGTAACTACTACTCAGCGGTTACTACAAGATCGATGCGTACCTATGTAACGTAAACGTTATGAAATCAATAGAGTCTATACGCTTACTCCATTTGTTAGTTGGAGGGACTGCGTTGGAGAGACAACATCTTCTGTTTTCTTTCTTGCATCATGAGGAGCAGTTTATCTATATTGCAAATATGGTATTTCCGCAATCCCGTCACTTTCTGTTCTAGTGCTTCGATCGCTTTCTGAAACGGTTCCCGAACGATTATTAACGACACGCCGGCACCTAATTATTATTGTATAGCTACGGCGAAACGGAACAAAACCGAAATGTTTCCGTGTCATCGTTCGCCTATCGATTATTAAGCGATCGTTGAAATTACTAAGCCCGAGTCGTAAACTGAAATGGACACTCGTTTGGTTTAAACTCAACCAATCAATATCGTGTTTTTTTTTTAACAAAACTATTTGGGCGCATGAAATGGTAATCTACTGTAAAGCGTAGACAATTTTTACGATAATCAGCAATACTTACTTGCAACTCTTTGTCAACTCGTTGATTTGTGTTCATATTTATATTTATTTTCGACGTATGATTCAAAATCATAGTATCGATTATGGCCATTTTCATGTCGTCGATAAAACCCCAATCGGTTTCCCAATTGAATTTATTTGATATTTCGGTTATGAGGACCTCTTTGACACTGCTCATAACGCACTTTAATTTTTTCTCTCCGCGGACATGTCATAAACAGTTTTTTGTTCTTCATTGCACATATCCTTCAAGTCTTTTATTTATTTTTTGTATTCGACTGTACTTTTTTTTATTTGTAAAAAACCGTGCTTGTTACACAGAATAACATCTTCTAACGGTGCATAGATCAATATTCGATGTTTATTTATTTGCGCCGTCGTTTCGACGTCATTCAATTTCGATATTTTTTTAACCTACGTAATCATAATCAAAAGTTCAACACATTGGTGACGAAATATCATTACTAATGTATTGCGATCAAATCAATTTTTAGAAAGCCTAAGTGATAAAAACTGATATATAACGTATTACACACGTGTAGGCATAGTATTGCGTATAATCTCTCACTTGGTACGTTTTCAATTATGCCGTTTCCTGTTCCAATTTCTTGTCCACGACGTCCATCTCTTCGTAAGCATTGACTAATTTTTTATTCGACTGTTCCAATTCACTTTTTGTTTTCAGTATGGATTGTTCGAGTCCATGTCGTTTCGACCTCAACACAAAAGCCAATTCGTATAATTCTTGCTCTAAATCTTCCGGTTTTACGTTCTCATCGGACTCAACGAATTCATTTTCCACCACATTCGATTCCGCACTCTGATTTTCGAGCGCATCCTCTACGGACTTGCCATCGGACTCGCTATCGGAATCGTCCGACGAGGAAAACGAACTGGATTCTGAAACAGAAAATGTTCCATTCAGCACGACAATTTACCGCATTATACTCGTACGGCGACCCGAGTCAAGTCGTTACCGTCGTTGGCGTGGTGGACTTTCACTTTGGGCGGCTTGTACTTATTCATAAAGATTTTCAAGAGATACTTCTTAAAACTCATGTTCCGAATTTCCCCGTTAAACGTTTTAATAACCTCGTCCAGCTTGAATTTTTCGTCGTCGATCTTCTTGCTGTAATACCGTATGTCTTCCCGTGACGACATTATCTACCGAATCAAAAGAACCTAGTTATGATCGATATTCCGATATATTCTCAGAACGTTTGTGCAATGCGTTTTACCTCTTCCACTATGCTGTTCAGTTTCAGGACGTGCAGACTAGCGCCAGACTCGTATTCGTCCTCGACTAAATCAAAAACTCTCAGGATCATCATCCCATCTTTCAGCGACAGGGCGAATAAGTCGATAAACGTAACGGCGAGCAGCTGGTCTTCACGCATCTTCTGCGCCGTCGAAATCTGTTCATCGAACACGTTGACTTTCCACAACATAGACTCGTGCAAACACGCATGCCTGTATTCAATTGCTCCAGCAACTGGATCAAATTCGATTGCGTCCGCTGCGATTGGCTCAATTTAGTTACTTCTCGATCCGGCGACAAGTGCGTTGATTCCAAACGACAGATCGGTTCGAAATAGTCGATTAAATTTGACTAGAACAACAGCAATTAGTTAATATATAGAGCGGTTACAAAATAATTATCGGATTAACGTTGCACGAAAAATAAAAATTCGATATTCTACGTGTTTACACGACTGTCATTTAATTGTTTAGAATCTCATTTAAAAATCTCTTTTACGACAAATTTAGTTGCACACACTTTTTTTTACTCGCAGGACCGAAAGTACAATTGATTTACGTAATACCTTGTGCGATTAGAAGAATTGTATATGTGATCGCAAAATAAAATCGTTGTTCTAGATCAGCGCTTCTCGATACAATGTACGCGAAACTTAGGTGACTCACACAAAGATACGTGAGGGCACTCAGGGAAAAAAAAAAAGATGATGGCGGAAAATTTAAAAATCAATGTATTTGAATTAATAAATAATTTATGAAGTATTTGATAACGAGCACTGTATGTGCGGAAAGTCTTTTCACGTCATACATACACGTTCATTAAAAACAAACATCGTTATAGACTTTTTGTGAGTATACTAATCATCTGTGGAACCAGATTTCAAAAATTAAGTATTACCAAACAATCTCAAGATTCACAATAAAAATTTAATTGTAAAATGTACATTACATTTTTTTTTAATACATTATACAATGCATACTGATTAAAATAAATACTTCATAATTAAATATTTTCCAACAAAACTGATCTTGTAATTTCTTATCAATCAAATTGACCATTGGAGGTACGTAAAACAATGGCAAGAGGTCAAGGAGTGAATGAAAAAAAAGGATGAGAGACGCTGTTCTAGATCAAATGTACATGTAAACGGACTAAAAAAATAATAGTGTACATTCTCTATAATCTTTGTAATATTATTTAAAAAAACCATCGATTATGTCTTTTGTTTCTTATGCCATATTAAGTTGTAAAACTCGTTAAATTTAAATAAAATTAATTGATGAATTGGAAAATTACGAAAAACAAATAACCTTTTTTCGATCCTGTGGGCTCTTCAATTTTTCGACGGATTACATCAATTGCTAACTAGACAACGGAAAACCTAGCTAAATGTTGTATTCGATTTAAGTTCATATTCACGTATTTTAATTGAATTAATCGGTAGGGTCTGATTAATATCTTAAAATAATTATAAGGAAAATCGAAATTATGTCAAAATACTTTATAAGTAGATACCCGCAGTTTTTAATTGAACGTGGGTCAGCCGGTGGGTTTTTTCAACATGTCTTCTGCAAAATGTGCGTCGACTTTCCGGACGGTTTTTTATTAGTATTATAATTATTATTATCGATATGCAATTGTTTATAGTGAATTAATAATAACAATAACTATAATCATAATAATAGTAATAATAATAATAAAATTAATAACAATTATGGGTTGAATAATTAATATTTTCCTAAGAATAATTTACTAGAATCAGTGGCGCACGCATGGGGGGGTTTAAGGGGTTTTAACCCCCCCCCTAAATTTTCTCCGATGTCTAAGTTAAAATTTACAAATTTTACAAGTTTGAAATATGAAGATCTAGTATTGAATACCTAGCATCATTGATTATAGAATAGTCTATTCTATTATCAATGCTATTATTTAAGTCAAAATATATTAAAGATTTGCATAATTTTGTTAATTGTAAAATGTGTTATATTTTTACCTTGAGAATATTTAGTCTATTTTTCATATTTTTAATATATTCAATTATTGTTCATAATAAAGCACATTTTATGAATTTCTGGAGTTGTGATTTTTTCTCGGAAAACAAATTTGATTGTTATATTTATATTCCTATGTATGGAATTGTTATCCATTTTTTTCCATTTAAATAATTTATCTTTTACTAAGGAATGGTGCATACAAGTTATTCATTGTTTTTATTTAACTATTTTGTTTTTTATATTTTAATAATTTACCTGTTACCAAAGGAATGACCCATAACAGTAATTTAATGTTATCATTGAACTATTTAAGAATAAAAAAAAATCATATTATCACATATTTACAAGTTTAAGAAATATTTAGAGAATATTTTAGGGTTTTTTTAGAGCATATTAGCATCATATATGAAGCTTTTAAGAACCTAAAAATCAGCTCTTTAGTTATGTCCAACTAACTATGTCAACACAATACATAATGGATTATTTTAAGTTATTCACGCTAAAAACTACTGGAAATGATTCTTAGAAACCAGTATTTATTTACGTCCCAACCGGGAATTGAAAAAATACCGGAATAGTAGAGTGAAAAATGGTATGTCTTGATAAAATTGGGATGAATTCAACCCTTTGCCACAGGAATGGATACTAAAAAGTTCAAGAATATGTTTGAAAATTCATAATGCGGTATACATTTAGGTTTATTACACATAGTAAAATTTCTTCCTTTAACATTCTATTGATTCGTAAATTTGCTCAAAAAATGTCTCATCAAATATTTTCTTAATAAACTATATAAGCCATTTTCTCTAGAAAATAATCTATAGAGAAACGCTTAAGTTTTTCATTTTCAGATCTAAATAGAAGTGATACATAATTTTTTTCACAATTATTGTCCAATATGAAAATATTATTTTAAATTCAATATATTAAGTAAAATACACACCTACGTCCTACAGATACACAATTCAAATGTTTTAATCAGACAGTTCAAGTCTGTATGAATATATTCATTTGAAAATAAATAACAAAAAGTTTGAAATAAATTATACAAATAAATAAATATGTATATATATATAATCTACTTAAAAATAAAAATGTATGATCTAAAAGTACAACTCTCAAATATCTTAATGGTTAATATGATTTTATACAAAACTTAAAATAATATTATTAAATTTTGTTCAATTAAAACAAATGTAAAATGTAATGTTTTGTGTTCAATAGGTGAATTATAAATAAGTATATATAAGTTATATATAAATATTTATATTTGTATATAATACATTTTTTTTTAAAATAATTAATAATCTAGAATATATTAAATTTATGAAAGTAGAATATTACACAATTTACGTACATACAACATAAAACATATTGATAAACATAAAAAAAACAATTAAAATATTTTACTACATAATAATACAAGTATAATATTAAATGTGTTCAGAAAAATATTTATTTTTACATTAAACATTACATAAAGAGACCCTTCCATGTTGTTTGTTTAATTAAATGGAGAAAAAATATATTTATAAAAAATTTAGCACTACAAATGAAAGTTAGACTAGGAGTCTATACACATATAGAGGCATTATAATTCAATAATTTCAATAATACAAGAAAAAAAAATAAAACTCTTTAGATGTATTTGAAATGAAAAAATAAATTAACATAATCAAATACCTCAACACTAATAAAATTGTACACTACTTAACACCCTCAGATCTTCATTAATAATAACATGGTCTCTTGTCAGTGATATAATCAAAAGGTTTTATTTCATGTGTTAAAATTAGAATGAGTTATAAAAAGAAATGGTTTCATTACAATGGCAATAATTTTTGATTATAATATTATATAATAGCGATTTGGAGTATCTGCATATATTGATGTTACTGCCATCTTAAGGTTAAATTCAAAAGAAAACGATGGTAATATACGAAAATAATTGTAAAGATGTAGGTGGCAGTCAAGAAGAAAAGGGGATAATTGAGTAAAAAATAATAATGTGGGGGGATGACAAACAAGAGATCATCATGTATCAAAGTCGTCTTCCTGTTGACTGGAGAAGTACGACACGAGGCCGCCGAATTCGCTGTCACCGGAAATCACAACCGATTGCTGTTGAGTAACAGGAGGCGGCAATGGTTGCATTGGAAGATGTTCATGGGACGGCGGCGGTGCCACGACCACGTTCCTGAAGGAGACTGTGGGCGGCAGGGGAGATGGTAGTGGCGTTCCGGTGGCCGCGTAGTCTATGGGATACTGCGAATAAGTGGCCCGCGACTGCTGCGGAGGCGGTGGCACCGACTGGTACAACTGACGCACCTGTGGCGCTACGTACCCCGTAGGGGCCATTTTGTTGGGCACGCGGTATTGCGCGGGGAAACAGCCGGGTGGCGGCACGCCGGCCATGGGTTTGAACCCGGCCGCCCCCACTGCAGCAGCAACAACGGGCGGTCTGTTGAACGCGGCCTGATGTACCGGTTGTGACGGTGGTACAACGGTGGACGCAACCACTTTGGTCGCGTCCGAAGGATACGGGTAGCCACCGCCGCCATAGTCGACCGACGGGTTCGGCAACGGTGATTCGTTCAATTGGTGTGGAGACGGTCGTTTACGCTTGTCCGCCGGATCGACCGGAGGCAGTGGCGTCGGTGCTAGGACGCTGGTCCGAACCGTCGTGGCTCCAGCGGCTAGCGGCAACAGCCGTTGTTGCGCGTAGTCCGCGGCGGCTGTCGGCGGCACGGTGGACACCAACGGAGGAGGGGGCAGTTCTCTAATGACTGATTGCGCAACGGCAGCTGCTGCGGATGTCGGTAACTTTTCGGCCACTTGCTGGACCGCCGCTGGTTTCGAATCGCTTACTTTTTGTTCCTCATCGTCGCCTTCTTCCTCGTCCGCGACTTCCTCCTCCTCCTCTTCTTCTTCTCCTTCTTCTTCTTCTTCTTCTGCATCCTCGTCGTCATCCTTTTCATCGTTGCTAGCCATCGCGTCTTCTTCGTCCACCTCCAAGTGATGGTCGTCATTCTCGGCCGCTAGTTCTTCGTCGTTTAATACGTACTCATCTTCTTCGTCACTCATCACTTTACGCTTTTTCGTTTGCACTTCCTACGAACAAAAAAAACATTATATTTTAACTAGAGGAGATATTTTAGTCATATGAAAGTACAACAATGGTATGATCGTACCTCTTCAGATTCGTCGGATTCGGCGTAAGTAATCTGCCGTCCCCTAGTCCTTCGTTTAGATTGGCCATATGAATCTGAATCCGACTCCATGCCATACTTGATCTGAAAAGAACAATATTAATAAAACTACATTTAAATACACACTCTAAATACAAAATGGTATTTAGATTACCTTATATTTTTTAGACTTTTGTACACTATCGTTTGAGTTACGTTGTCTTTTCGATCCTTTGTGCGATTTAAATGATAATGATGAAGACGAAGGAATGTTTGCACGTTTATTCTTCCTTTTCCCCCACGTGAAGTCTTCTCCTTCACTATTTGAAGATTCTGACCAGGGTCTTGATCTCTTTTTATTTGGACGTTTATCACCATCTTCACTTGAATCGTCATTTACTATAATTATACGCGACAAATGATACAGTAAAGTTTTAAATATACATGTATCAAATAAAACTTTGATTGTGCAATAAGGTTAAGTTTGCTTTGCGCTCTTGATGAAAAAGGTACATATTAATGCCTTAATAGCACATATTATAAAGGCGTATATGATATATATTAATTATATTATATCATGTTATATTTATTATAGAAATTATATATAGTTATTTAAATTAAATATAAATTATCATAACTAAAAATGACTTACTGAAGTCAGGGTCGACCACTGTTTTTCGATTTCGTACAGACCGTCTTGTTGGTTGTGCTCGATTCTGGACAGAGTCGTCACTGTATTCACTGAACTCTTCCTCGTAATCATCATCACCATCACTAAAATAAATTTAAGTTTTTGTTGTATAAAAATAAATTAAATAATGTTATAAGACATACGAAGGCCCTTTGAAATCTTCATCCGATCCATCATCTGAACTGATATCTAAGTTGGTAAGTTTTTTAGATTTCTTTCGTCCCCTTAAATGCAATAATGCTGGTGCAATCGGTGAGTCATCTCTGTTTTTGTTATCATCTACATTTTCAGAATCTGTATTTTCATCGTTATCATTTTTGTCTGCTTTGGCTTCTATAGACTTCTTTGTAACAGATTCGTTAACACCAGTCTCTTCCTGAAATAATTAAAATAATTAATAAACACTAAAAATTGTGTTCATATGTTATTCTGCATTTTATTACTTACTAATATTGCTTCATTAATCATATCATCATAGTCATTAAAACGATAGCTAACATTAGTTTGGCGTCGAGCTCTCAACTGGTATAATGGTTCTGAATCATAAGATTCTGATTCCGATTCTTCTTCATCTTCTTCTGAAGAATCATGTACTGTAGGCAGTTTTGGAGTTTTAACTTCTTCTGTTTTAGAAGATATTACATTTTGCAGGCTTATTCCCACATATGCCAAACGTTTCCGTCTTAATTCTTCATTTTCACGTTTTTTAGATTCTTCATCGTATTTTTTTAAAACTTCTTTTAAAGAATCTAATAGAGAGCTCTATAGGAAAAGTAAAATTGGGAAGTTATGACAAAATAGTAAAGAATATTCAAATAATTGAGAATGAAAAATAATGAGAAAGTTAAATATAAATATACTAACATGTCGGCAAGTAGGACAATACCAATCTCCATCTGGGATCACCATGAGAGGAGGACGGAGGCAAGAAGCGTGCCATCCTTGATTACAAGTATCACACAACAGAATCCATTCAGGTTGATCACTTTTTTTGCAGTTTTGACATGGCATATCATCTTTCAACTCTTCATCTTGGTCTGTAAATCAGAACAACAAAAAAAAAACAGCATTAATAATATTTTTATTATTTACATCTATTATGTAATCGAATAACTATTAACTTATAATATTAACCTTTTTTTATGAGCAGTTCTTGCTCTTTTTTCGGGCAAATAATTTTCATCTTCATTAATATCTGACTCTGGAGAGAACTCATGATCTGATATATTTGGTTCAATTCCAGGTCTAAGAATTTCATCCTCTTCTTCATGGTCATAATCTTCAAATAGTTCTACGTTGTTTTCAGACGAACTAAACATTTTATTTAATAAAAATGTATAAGCTTAAATAATTCAAAATAACGGTTTGCTAAAATTATAAAGAAAATATATAGAATAATGCTGCTAAACATTACCGGGAGAAATTATTCGATTTAAATAAAAATCAAAGATTATTGCATCTAAAAAAATATTTTTAAGGTAGATTAATGTAACATAATATATAAAAATTGAATATATTAAATGAGAAAATCACAAATAGTTATTATTTTACATCAAAAATATAAAAACAAAACCTATAAAAAATATTTTTAAAAAAAATGATAACATTCAATATATATGAAATTTTGTTAGAATATAAACTTACAATTTTTCAGAAATATAAATTGAACTGATCTAAATTTTAACACAATAAATTAAGTGAGAATTAACATTGCTTAAGATTGTTAATCCAAAGTTAGTAATCTAAGAAAAGCAGTATAAATTTTAAAATGTAATATTATTTTGATTTAGTTTTAAGTTTTGCATTCATTAAACACAACTACTGGGATATATGATAAATGAGTTGTTTAAATTAGTTTTTGTGATAAATTATCCATTTAAAACTTAGTAGCATAAGACTTTTAGCACAAATTAACTATTTTAAAGTGTTTATAGAAAAGTTATTTTTAAAGATTGCTTTACATTATAAGATAAACTAAAAAATGTTTGTACTTAAAAATAAATTTATATTTTCTATTAAATGATGTTATATACCTTGATTCAGAATCTACATTCCATGGATTTACCATGTTTATTTTTTTCAAAGAATCAGGTTTTCCTTTTCGTTTTCTTTTCTTATACTTTTTAGAAATAGGATCCTCTTCATCATCATCAGATTCTTCAGCAGTTTCCATCTATACAATATACAATTTGTAGCACAAGATATTATTTATTGACAATTTATGCACTTGCTTTACCTTTTTGGTAGGTGTAGATACTTTTTTAACACCTTTATCTTTTTTCTTTGAAATCTTCACAGGTATATCAATGTCATCATATTGTGTTGAAGGTATAAATTGTTCTTTAATTTTGATTTCAGCAATACGCCTTGATCGACGAACATTATCATCGCTAGCTGGTTCTGGAAACACTGTCACTTCTTCTGCTATGGTGACAACTATAAACATTTTTAAACATTAAAAAAAAAAAGCTACTAAGAATTTTTTTTTTGCATATGACTACTAAGAATTTAAGATTATATTATACCAAAAGTATCACCTTTTTTTTTGCCGAGGTTTATATGGTTTTTTAATTTTTTCTTCGTTATTACTTGTAGATTCCTGCTTAACTGTAGTATTTTTTTTAGTCCTTCCTCTTTTCCCTAATAAACAACTTATTTTAAATTTTTTTTTTCTTTTATCATGAAAACTATCATTATACTTAAAGATAATAAAATAACAGAAATTTAGAGTATTTAATATTTATTGTTGATTTGAAATGGATACCTTTTTTTCTACCAGGTCTTCCTTTTTTTTTTGGGTGTTTCTTCTAAATCTTCTTCTCCACTTTTTTTCTCATTTTCTTCAACAGTCTTATCTATCATTCCACTATCATCAAGCTCTTCTTTAACTAGATTTTTAGAAATATATATTTATTATTATGTTAGATTATTACAAAATGTATATATTGAGCATGAAACAGTAAATATTATAACATAAATTATAAATATTAATCGATTAACTATTAGTACTACTAGTACTTACAACTTTCAATAAATGTATCTTCATTTGGGTCACCTGCACTTTCATACATATCTTCATAAACTGGAGAAGAATCTATTTCAGATGTTTGCAATGTATTATTATCAATTGGATCTAGAATAAATAATAATTCATAATAAAAATTTAGTGATATAATGAACTATTCAATTGTCAAACCTGAAATATGTACTAATTTAAAAACATAAATTTATATTATGTATATAATTGTATTTACACCCATATTACGTCCAACATAATTTAATACTATTATCTTAATGTAAAGCTTTCAAAATGTACAGATGACTAGTATGTAAGCTCAATATATACTATTAGGTATATTATTGAGGCATTCAATTAAATAATAATATTTTAAAAATTTAGAAAATCTGAAGCTCAGTAGAAAAAAAAATTGGTTTGATTCAAGTTTGACCTTAATAATCAGGATTTTTAAAATTATTAATAAATGAATATATTTTTATTTTATGTTAAATTTATAATTTCATTTATAATGCCTCGTTCAACTTACCATTATCTTTTTTATTTATTTTGCATTCTTGATTAATATCTTCATCAAAATTGTCATTGTTTTTTGAATTATCATCATTTTTTATAGATTCAGTCATACAATTTTCTAAATTAAATATATTTTAAATAATAAATTAATCATAAAACCATTATATGTGCTATTCTAAGCCATTATATTAAGTTTAAACATTCAATTATAAAAATAATACAAAACTTACCACCTTGTACAATTTCATTAGCATTATTTTCATCCATTTCTACTGCCAATATACTTTTCTGTACAGACACGTTAGGAGGAAAATTATCTTTTTTATAGGATTCATTTTTTGGTTCTTCTTCATAACTAACATCAGTTTTATGTTCAGTACTTATTAATTTAGTTTTATCTCTTTTACTACTATTATGTTTAATTTTACCAACAGTTGGTATAATTTTATCTTCCATTGAAATGGTGGGGATTTCATCATGAAATTTATGATTTTCTGATGCTATATTAGTTGAATTATTTTTTTTTTGAACTTTTGGGTTAGCAAGTACAATTTTATTTTTGTTCTCAATAAATTCACTATTATTTTTTTCAACAGTTGAATCCAAATTTTTTGTTTTTAATTCTTTAATGTTTTTCTCAGATTTAACCATGCAAACATTGTCTTTTTCAACTTCAAAATTAGATGATTCAGGTTGATTTTCTAATTTAAACTCTTCCATAAAGTTTTTTTTATGGCTTGGGCATTCTGATATATCCTTAATTTCAACAGATTTTTGCAATATTTTATCCAAACTGTGTTTATTGTTAAAAATATTTTGCGTTATATTTGCAACAGATTCAGTTTTTTCTTGAATACTTGCACCATTATTATTTTTATTCTTAATTTGATAATATTCTTGTTTATTTATTTCCATATTACAAGTATTAATTGATTGTTTTGTTACAATAGTATCATCAACCGATTTATTAGTTTCAATAATGTTACTTATATTATGCAAGGTCAAATTTGGTTTTTTATAATTTTGTTCATCATCTATTTGTTTAGAAGTAGTAGGATATAGATTAACATTATCAATTAAAGTTTGATCGTCTGCTTTACTATTCACATTTTCGCCACTACACTCAATTTCACTTTTAATTGAGTTTTCACTTTCAGTGTGTAGATTTACATCATGTTTTAAATAAGTAGCATTTGTATTCAAATCATCAATCGTTTGAATATCTTCATCGACATTTTTTGTTATTTGTGTATTAGATTCATTACTTTGAACTTCTAAGCTCACAATTTCTTTATTATTATCATTTATATTAAATTCATTAGCCGATATTTTATTATCTATTATAACATTTAAATTACCTTCATTTGAAAACTCTATATTATCCAATGTGCTTGAATTTTGTTCAACTGTATCAATATTCTGTTCATTAATATCAATACATTGATTTGCAGTACTTAAAAGTGATTTAATAGGATTAACATTATCACAGTTTTTAACAACTTTTTCTATTTTATCACTTGGACTGCCATCACTGGTTGATTGTTTATTAGTTTTTATGGGACTCTCATGAATATGTACATCAGTGTTATCTTCTAATTTAGTTACGAGCTGTTGATCATTTTCTAATTGCTGTTCAGTTTCTTCTTTTCTATTTTCTAGTGATTTAATACCAAAGATTTCTTGGTTTACAGAATGTACATCCACATTAGTAACCGAATTAGCATGTGTTAACTGTATGCCACTTTGATAATCATTATTTTTACATTCAATTTTTTCATTTTCCTCATATTTATTCACAATGTTATTTTGTTCGGTTTCATCAAAAGTAATTGATTTATCATTACAACTAGATTTTAAAACTGGTATATTACTATTTACAATGTGAGCATCATCTTTTACGGTGAACTCAGATTTTGTAAAAACTTCATTAGCTTTTCGTTCTGTGATTTGCACTTCTTCTTCATGTACTTTTATATTAAATACCGATTGTTTTGAAGTTTTGTTGACAGATAAATCCTCTGTACTTTTACTACTACATCCTTTATCTAATGATTCAATGCTATTCATTGTAGTAGAATCAACAACTTTATCCATTTTTTCATTCTTTGTAAGATCTTTGTTTAATTTTATATTTTTTTCAAGATCTACTTCCAATGTTTTATTTACTACAAGTTCTTCATTTATTTTTTCATTTATTGCATGTTCATCGACTAAGTTTTTATTTGCTATACATTTTTCATTTAATTTTTTATTTATTGCAACTTCTTCATCTAATTTTTTATTTACTGTAAATTCTTCATCTAATTTTTCATTTACTGTAAATTCTTCATTTAATTTTTCGTTTACTGTAAATTTTTCATCTAATTTTTTATTTGTTGTAAGATCTTCATCTAATTTTTTATTTGTTGTAAGATCTTCATATAATTTTTTATCTGTTGTAAGATCTTCATTTAATTTATTATTTGTTGTAAGATCTTCATAGTTTTCTTTTGATGAACTACCTTCAAATTTTTCTTTAATGAGTTGAGAATTCTCTCCATTAGAAACATTATTAAAACATGGTACAGAATCATCACCAAAAAAAAACCCTGTCTTAGGCACAGAAATGTCTTCTTTGACTTCTTTAGAAGAACTGCAAATAGTTTCAATAGTCCATAGTTTTGGTTTTTTCACATCTTCATTTTTCAAAGTCTCATTTTGAGTATTTGTTTCATCAGGATTACCAGTATCACATTCAAGTCCTGAACCTTCTCCCTTCACAATCATAACTGATTCTTCAATAACATCTCCAACAATAGGAATATTGATTTTGTCAAGAGATTTATCTTCATCAGTTTCTCTTTTTAAATCAATAGGTTTTTCAAGAGAATATTCTCTTGGATCAAATATATTAATATCTGATTTAAAATCAGAAGAATCATTAATACTACATTCATCTTCATTTTCAATTACTGGAGATGTTGTAAGTGATGTATCTTTAATACCAGAAAGTTCATTTATAAGATTCACTAATGTACTTCTATCCCTAAAAAATATAAAAGTTTGTTTAAATAACTATTGAAGACAATTTAAAAATATTTTATACTTTGCCACCATTTTCCATGAATCTTCATCAATGTCATCTTTATAAACTCGAATATTATATGATCGATCAAACTGTACCCAATATGCTGCACCTGATTTATCCCAACCTAATGGTTGAGAACGGAGCATAGAGCTTTCATATTTATTTATTTCAGCCTTAAATTTAACATTATGGTCAAATTGTACTTCAATTAGAGCCTGTAGAAAATTTTTTATTATAATATAACAAAATATGATATCAAAAATATATAATGAACTTACTTTTAAAATTCTTAACTTTAGTTGCACAGAAATTCCTTTGTATCCATAATGTTCTAATTTCCAACATTCTGGTACTGAATATCCTTGACAAAATTTTAGGATTGCTTTTTCCCATTTATCTAGATACACAATTTTTTTGCTTTTACGCAATAATTTTACATGCAAGTTGATCAGTGTTTCTGGAACTGAAAATAACATATTTTTTTTTTTTTTATAAAAATATATTAATATTTATAGTTCACAAAAATAAACTAAATTATTTAGATTTTATTTAATTAATATACAAAAAAAAAACTATTTTTTTAATTACAGGAAAACAACTGATTTGTAAAATTATAACACATTGAAATTTTGTTACAAGTAATTGTTTTAACTATAAAATAAAAAATATTTGAAAAGTATTAAAACTTTAAAGAACACAAGTCATATAAAGATACCTTATGGTTTTAAATTTAAGCAATCTAAATAATTTTAATTGATGAAAAGTAAAGAATAATTAATTTAAAGTTCCTAATGGATACATTTTTGGTCTAGTAATACTTTACTAGAATTATAACTATTTATTATTGTTCAAAATAACTCAAAAATTTATCATTAAATTGAAACAAATAATCACATTTTCAAATCAATCAAAAAAATATACTTTCTTGATGTTTTGAAATCAATGGAACAATACAAAGCTGTATTTTTTAGAATTAATGAAACATATGTTATTTGTAAATTTAACTAAACATAAAATTGTAAGAAATGTATAATAAAGCAATTTAAAAAAAAAACTACACATTTACTTCTACACCCAATCACATAATAAATGCGACCCACCAAAAACTTACTCAACCATAAGGGAACAGAGTAAACTCAACTTAATTTCTACAGTTGCATCTAAGGGCTTTACTATATAAGTGTAAATAATCTGGTGGACATGGTTATTTAGATTTGACATGGAGCGTTGGGTCATAATTGTAAAACATAACACAGCGTTTAATGGCCGAAGTTCTAGATGGGTATATTTTCTATATATATATATATATATATATGGGGATCAAGTTGGCCGTGCGTTACCTTCGTCGGTCTTCTCTAGCATTTCTTGAAGTTCTTGGAACGTGGGAATGGTGACACCACAACTGTCCCCGAAACGTTCGCAGAAAGCAAATATCACTGCGAAATTGGGATCCGACGCGCACACGTCCTGTGCGTCAGCAATCGGCGGCGGTGAGGTCATCGTGTGTTCGGGCATTTCATGGGATAATCTATGTCGGTACTGTCACATCGTTCGCACTTCCGAATGGATATTTTGAATTTTCGCAAATCGAAATCAAAACATAAATAAAAAACAAAACAAAATACCTATCACGAATGGGTCGCCACCATTTTGATATCCCACTTTTCGAACCGAAAAAAAACAGTGTTGCCATGGGCATGGACTCTGCTACCACACCGCCCAACCATCGACGGTTCGCGTTTATTATTCGATAATCATAATCACACCGACAACCAAAACAACAACAATAATAATAATTTTGGTTCTCATGCTTAGATTAGGTTAGATTCAAGGGCGGGTTTAGGGGGAGTGGCTAAGGGGGAATTAGCCCCCCCCTTGGGACTAAACTAATAACTATTTACTAATTACTAATACTATTTTACAAAGCCAAGTATTATGATGTATTGATATATTAATAATTATTATATCGTCAATTGTCATTGATGAACATGGTACCTATTTTATATATTTTTTTATAAATAAATAGCTCATTTTTGTATATATTTATTTGTGTATACATATATATTTAAAATGGTTTCAGATTAAAATTGATACTAATAATATAACTATTTAAAATGTGTCATTATTGTGAAAAAAATGATTTACTTATGAGAGACTCAAAAACATATTCTGTAATTTAAAATTTTTTGTATACATTTAAAAAACAACTTATTAAATTTTTGAACCTCCATTAGCTCCTCCGTTGGTGAGTGATAAAACCCGCCCCTGGTTAGGTTTACGTTGTTTACTTCGCATAAAATGTGTGTTATAACGCTTATCGATAATGATGTCGATGTAGCTTCCAGGATAACAAAATTCATAGCCACCTCATAACATTTCGAATGTAAATTTCCTTATAGGAACCTCCTGTGCGTGATACACAAACGATACAAATTGCTCACAGTTATTTCAACGCGTGGATCGAGTGATTTAAACGGACGTTTAACGCAGTGATGCATATGCCACTTACGGAGGTGCCAGCCTGAATGGATTCTATGGACAACTATCGAAATGTTTTCTCTTTTTGATCATTTCGATATTTTCCTTTCTCAACACTGTTATTAAAATACAACTGATACTTATAGATAATATTAAGACATTAAATTCCGAAAGAAGGTTACCATAGTCATACCGTGTCGTGGTTGGTTTTTTTTTAGATTTTTTTATTTCTTATTAGGATTTTGACTAGATGGATTGACTAGATCATCCACTTGTTATTTTTCCGATCGTATTCCAATAGACGCGACGGTAGTTTGAAGTAAAAAACAGTGCTCGACTTGTGGGGAACGCAGGGGGGACGAAGTACCCCAATTAATTTTCAGAAATTTTAGTGTCCCCTACTATTATTATAATGATTAACAAGTCTTGCGGACGCTATTTTCTTTAAAGTAAACAGAGTCCTCCTTCTTTAATTTTGCCAAGTCAAGCACTGGTAAAAAATGATATGCGCAACGGGGCATTAATGCTCATGTTGCTGCTCATAATGGGTGAGCATGCGGAGAGCGAGTTGGAAAAATTTATTCATATGGCCTCCGCCGGTGGTAAATGAATCAGCAGCAGAGAGGACAGGATTGTGGTTATGACCACAATAACATAACGACAGTGTTATAATATTTCATTTGCCCTACAGCGACGCTTTTTTTACGCCATACAAACATAGGTGAGCGCAAACGGTCTCGTCCTTTTTCCCGAAAGTCCGTATGCCCAAAATCTTTTTTTCCCGAATCGAAATCCCCGAATAACCTTTTTCTCGAATGGTATTTTTTCAGAAAATTTTTTTTCCGACGGTTATTATTAAAAATAAAAAACTAATATTATTGTAAGGTAATAAAAATATAATTTATTATTTTACTAAAATAGTATTTTATTTATAAAACCTTTTAAACTTATAGAAAGTAAATAATAATCAATAAAAATTTTACCTAAATTATGTATGTATGAATTTGAACAATATAAATCAAAAAATACATAGGTACATCGGCTATATGATTAAAACTATACTATTAAAAATCTATAATTTTACCCACTAAATAAAATATACGCAACGCCATTATTATTTACAAAGCAATTATTATTTGTAATTTTATTTTGTAAAACTTATATTACACAAATCTGTTTACATACTATTTCCGATATCGTAATCAGATAATATATTATCCGTAATATATATATTCCAAATAACATAAGTCTATCAAATGGATGTAGTTATGTAACTAGTACATTGTTATATTATGATATTGTATTTTCACTATTTATTTATTACCTATGTGTTTATAAAACTGTATATCATGTATGTTATGCTAATGTAGGTAAACATTATAAATATTTGGAATTAATTTGTATTATTTGTTATGTACTATCTTAAATAAACGTTTTATAGTTTAATTTTTTTTGTTTTCTTATCATATTATATTATATTACTCATCAGTCTTTATACTATTGGAAGTACTCAAGTACATATTATTATATTGTGTATTTCCTACGACCTACCTACATAATAATTGTAACATTAACAAAATAATTTGTAATTACTACAATTATATAGCTAGTACAAGTAACAAATTGAAAAGTAAAAATTTTTTTTTTTCTTTTTAAACTAGAGAATTTTACAATCTGTAAAATTACGGTTTACAATAAGCACAAGTGATAAGGGAGTTGGTATAGAAAAGACAAATAGTGGGTAAATTAATAGACAAGTCAAATAATTACTACTATTAACATCGATTCAGACAGGGGGGTTTGAGTGAAGAGACCATCCATTGATGGGACTTCATGTAAAAAAAAAAAGTAAAATTTACATACATTTATGTGTATAAACTGTAAGGTCTTTTATTATAGCCACTGAACTATTGCTAAAATCATTCTAGATATATCTTTGTTTGAACCAAACTGCTAATTATCTACAACAAAGATTATTTGTGGGGACAACAACTATAAAAGTAATGTCTACATAATACTATATTGTTATTTTAACTCATTTTGTAATTGTAACCAAATATATTTTACCAAAGATTTATTGTAATATTAACTCTACATATTGTTGTCACGTATGCAACCGAAAATTCTGGTAGTAGGAATCATATTCTGGTAATTATAACCATCTTTTTTTTCCGTGTAAATACTTCGATTAAAATTAACTTTTTGAACAATATAGTGCTAATAGTTTTAATACTCACCATTTGGAATGAAGCATACTAGCACGGTTAATAAATATGTATTTGATATGTACATTACCTATGCAAGTTAATTTTGTTAATATTGTGTTCTTTTGAATTTTTTTTTTTTCATTTCGGGAAAAAGGCATACGGACTTTCGGGAAAAATACCGGTAACCGTGCGCAAAGTTCCCAATCAGATGCAGCACTAAGGTACATTTTCAGCAAATTATTAGCCAATCGAGAAATTGTATATTTGACAGCACCAAAAATGTTAAACTTACCAAGCTTAAAAGATAATCTATTAACCTTGTGATCGCATCTCTAACACCCAGTAAAACAAGAACATTTTTGTCGTCTGTCAATCAACTTAAAACTAATAATATAAAACTAATATAAACGTCTTTAAAAAATCTAGCGTCTCAGAACGAGCATACTAGACTGCATGTACTGCACCCGTGTGCACGTCTGTGTGTATAAAGTTTAACTATAAACCATATAAAGATGCACTCGTGTAATATATACAGAATCAAATATGAATTCAGCGTTGTTTACGACCATGGACTTATTATTATAATAATTAACAGGTTCGTTCCAACTCGCGGTCAAACTATTATAGAACTGGTGAAAGCATGCGCAGTATATTTTTTTTCATTCCAGCACACCCTAAACGCAAACTCAAACTATTAGACGCTTATTCCCACACGTTATTAGATCAGTTTTAGGATTGGTTGTGGACTATCAAAACAGTCCGCTGATTCCGACGGGGACTAATAGAGCAAGGTGAATATAGAGTGTATGAATATAGGTGAATAGAGGTGTAAACACTTCCTATATTGTAGTATTATGATAGTGGGCCGAAAAAAGTACACCATTTGTAACTGCCACCTGGAGCACTGACTATCCGATGAGGGCTCAAAAACACTACAGTTTGTATGGCACGTAATGCATTTTAGCATTTATTTTTACTTAATATTTAGTAGTAATGGGAACGATCGAGTGATTTCAACAATCGAGAGGTTATTAGGTATATGGGAAAAAATTTAATTAAAAAAAAAAAATACAATTACAATTATTAAATTATCAAAATGATTTGTTGCATTAAATTACTACAATTTCTTAGTCACAAATGTGTTTCATTAGCATGTGAATCCAAATAACTAATTTTTATTTTGCATTTTTTGGTGATTATTACTTTTTAAGTCATTTTTTGACATTTTTGGTAATTTTTCATAATTTTTAGTTATTTTTACTGATTTCACACTAGTTCATTTCTTATTGTTTCTTATCGATCATTATGCTGAAAACTCAAGACTTGTCCGATATTATCTCGTTGATTACAGTCGTCGCTTCCATGGGTGCAACTAGGGGGGTGCTATAGCATCCCCAGGCTCAAAAAATGTTAGAAATAGATTATTTAATAACAAAATGTTGAAGGTGACATTATTTTAATCAAATTTTGAAATAAAACACTTTAAATACTTTTAATCTTACATACAACAATTTATTTTAGATAAATCCATCATTACCTCCAATTAGATGGGAGCATTATTTTAATATTTTTAAAGTAGAATGTAATAGTCTTACAAAAATATGTCCAAAACTATCAAAACACCACTTTGAGTTAAACAATCTTTCAAAAATGAAAGTCAAATATGCAGCACAAGTATAAATAATAAAACAAAAATACCTAGTCAAAATGTTATTTAAATTTTATATATTTTTAGATATTTAGTAGATCAATGGCTATAGGAATGGAATTTCGAAACAGAAAAATGTTTAATGTTTCAATGATTCTGATGAAACTATAAAATTTACTTATATGATGAACAATATATTTGATGTATTAAACAGAAAAGGAAGGAATAAAAAAAAAAATAGCAAAGATCTAGAGGTTTTGTGTTGTGTTATTGATTAAATCAATGGTTGTGTTTATGTTGTGCCTATTATATATTTAATAAATACATAACAAAGCGTTTAGTTAAGAAAACTAAATACTTAGTTTGCATTGAAGACTTAAAAAACTTAAATAGGTATTCTGTAGGTCAAGGGGCTGTTTTAGTTCAAGCAAAAAGTAAAGGATACCTTACACATCCAGATCATAATTTATATATTAAGATATTTAGAAACTTGTTTTGAAAAACACGTTAACTCAAATGATGTTTTTGAACTTACTTACAATCAGTTCTTTAATAACAATTTTGAACTAAAATTTTCTTGTTCTGTACATAAAATTGAGATGTTAACTAATATTTTTTCTTATTCCATTATAATAAGAATGAGGCAATACAATTATATAGAAAACTAAAAAACATGAAAAAAATAAAACTAAAAAAAAGTTGTCTAAATTAGTCAAATGTTAAAATTCTGTTTATGTTTATACAATTAATCATTTTTATATAGTACTTTTCAAATATGGTTTGTTAATATTGATGTATACAGATGTAATAAATATTTATATGAGTTTAATATTTAACATTTATTTTGAAAAGTTATTTTACAATTATAATTTATTATTTAGTGTTTATACTTTAATTTTATAATAAAATTATGATTATGAAATATGATTAATTAAACAAAATGAATATCTGTGATCAAGAATTTATAATATGAAATACTTCCGTTTGGAGCGCTACACCTTATTTATTGCAAAAGTAATTTCGTTTATCACATTAGCAGTAATCGATGTGCAACCTATATATCTTTAATTGTGGCTGTACACCGTATAGGTATCACCCATACATTACTCTATAGTATCACCATATCCATGTTGTTAACAATATGGTAGTTCTGTGATTATCCATCAATTGATAATTTATATCAGGATTAGATATCCTCAAGGGTTTTGCGTTTGTTTAGTAAAATATTATATGCAAGTACTTGTAAAAATTACATTATTACATTTTAATATGTCTTTTAATTTGTACGCTAACAATGTTAGTTTTTTGGGCATTAAAAATGTATTGAAGTTTCAGTTGCATTCAAAATGCATACACAAATCTGTCTCAGCTAGAAAAATGTCACCACAAGAAGTATATTTGTCTAATAATATAATTTTTTAATATTCCTTTAACTGTATAATTTAAATTATAGGTAACTACTATTCTTAGCTCTAAGGAACATATACATGAATTTGAACCGAGTTTCGGTTCTATCAAAGCCTATGAAACAAATCAACTGGAGTCAAACTCTCCAATAGAAGATGCTCGTGCTGAAGCAAAATGTCTTTTAACATCTGGTTGGTATGTTTAGATTTATTATTTTGTGTTAATAACTATCATAGAATGTTGGAAAAGTTTCTAAACAATTTTACCATTTCCATGTTTGTTTTTATTAGGTTATTAATACAATTGTTGTTATTTAGGTATGCTGTTTGGAGTGTTTGATGGTCATGGCGGTGCTAGCTGTTCACATGTGATAACTAAACGGTTATTTGATTACATATGTGTAAGTCTTTTGCCTAAGCCACTTCTTTTAGAATATCTGGAATCTGGGAAACAGCTTGTTGAAATGCGTAATGAAACATTTGATTTAGTTTCTGAATTAAAAACCATTTATGCTCAAAGTCTTAAATCATACGTACTTAAAATAATTAATGAGGGTCAAGAACATCAATTTAAAATGAAAGATGCATTGGAAAAGGCATTTTTGCAATTAGATGAAGACATGATGACTGAAGCAAGATTAAAAACTAATACTGAAGTTGATAATTTAACATTGAATGTAGGACTATCTGGATCAGTAGCATGTGTTGCTCATATTGATGGACCTCATTTACATATTGCTTCAACTGGTGATTGCTTAGCAGTAGTTGGAGTATATACAGATGACGAAACATGGATGGCTAAGGTAAATCAATATTTATAGAGTTTAATAATTTTTAATATCTATTTAAAAGATACAATTTTATATCTATTAAGGTTATGGTTGAGGAACATAACACTGATAATTTACAAGAATTAAATCGAGTAATATCTGAACATCCATCCAATGAAAAAGATACTGTAATAAAATATGAAAGGCTTCTTGGTCAGCTAGCACCATTAAGAGCATTTGGAGATTTAAGGTTTTTATTTTTACAAAAATATTATCTATTTAAATTATTTTTACATATTTTTTATTTTGTTAATAATTTGTGTTTGAATTTAAACATTTTATTAGATATAAATGGTCTAGAGAGATGTTATTGGAACATATTGTACCAAAGATTGGAGAAAATGCTATACCACCATTTTACTACACACCTCCATATTTAACTGCTAAACCTCAAGTTGCACATCATCATCTTCAACCAAGAGATAAATTTCTTGTACTTGCTACTGATGGTCTATGGGATTTTATGACTCCATTACAAGTAATATATCTAGTTTTATTTATTTTTATATTGCATTTTCAATATTGAGGAATTTTGAACTATAAAATGTTTTAATATTTTAATAATTTATTTTGTTCACCTTATTTGATTGATTGATGGTGAAGCCAAATAGATTTTTATTATTACTTCCTAAAATTTCATTGTTATTTAACATTTGGTAATCAATCAATTTTGTTTTCATGTAATATATTAACTCAAAAAAAGTGACTATCATCCAGTTAATATTCAAGGATGATTATAATATAATAATATAATATATTTTGTATCAGTTGATCTTAAAAAGTTTTAAGGTATATTTTCTTACTAAACTTCAGGATTGATTATAATTATTTAACATGGTAGTATTTAGTATATAAATTATGGTAAATAGTAAATATAATATAAATAATAGTTATTAAGTTATTTATTTTTAAATTGTAGGTTGTTCGTTTGGTTGGAGAACATATGAGTGGAAAAATCACTTTGACACCACTCAAGTTGCCTAGAAATAATATGAAACTTAGTGAAATAAATAACTTACTTTTACAAAGGCGAGATAGTTTAAAACGAAAACCAGTAGATGCAAATGCATGTACACATTTAATACGCAATGCTTTAGGGGGTACTGAATATGGCGTTGAGCATGCTAAGTTATCTCATTTACTTAACTTGCCAAAAAATATTTCTAGGTCATTTAGAGATGATATTTCTATTACTATTATTTATTTTAATACAGAGTACTTAAGACATCCTCAACCTTAGTACAGTGATTTCTATCAAAAATAATTTCCTAAATGGTTCAAATATGTTGTATATTTTTTTAATAATTATTTTATATATTATTCACTTATAAGTAATAACATAATAATGTAATAATTACATTATTATTAAAAATCAAGTCTAGTCTGCAAAGAATTTAAATGTTATTTTTTATTTTTAAAACCTTGATCAAATACCAAGAAATTCATTAACCTAATGAAAAAATGATTTTTGTACACATATTGTATTTTGTAATCTAAAAATTATAAATAGTTACACCAAAAATTTTTAGAATTTAGTTATAAGATACTTTGTGTTCTAGTCTGAATATAGTATAATTTATAAAATTAACATGTTTGGATATATTATAAACTAATATTAATTCGTGTTGCATACTGATCATTATTTCTTATACATAAAAATCATTAATTTTATTTTAAATGGTTATTATTTGTAATTAATACATCAAACAAAATAAATAACTATATTCAGTAAATTAATACACAAATAAAAAATATTTTCTGTAAAAAGTATGAATTATCAATATAATAAATAAATAAATAAATAAATATTTATCAAGAATCAAAAAATGCATAAAATTTATTTTATGAAAATAATAACAATATTTTCATTATATTCAATTCATCTATACTTAAAATTAATAATAAGTCATTTTATTTAAGTATTTCATATTAGTAAGATTATAACATTATAAAATGTTGTAATTAGGTTTGATTGTGTATAGTAATTTAATATATTACAAATTGATAAAACAAATATAATAATCAAACAGTATTTAAGAAAATTATTTTAACCAATATGTGTTGTAAACTCTATTCAAGTTAAAAGTACTCTGATTGGTATTTGCACAATATGCAATGTTAGTTCAGCAATGGAGCTGAACTACTGATGGGTTAGTGGTGGCATTACAATTTACTAATTGGTAATTAATAATGTATGCATGGTTATGATGTGTTTTCATATGCCGCCTGGTGTCCTCTAAACTTCAATAGAGTATTAAACATAATATTGTGAGTATGGTTTTAATCTTACTACATTATTACACAATAATCAATATATATTTATAAAAATATAATAAATATTTGGCTATTGTGATTTAAATATTTGGACTGATTTGCCCAGTAAGAGTAAAGATAGTTTAGTTTCATTTTAGTTAAAATATATTTTATTATTATTTATTTGATATCTGTCACTTTAATTTAAATAAAATCAAATGTTTTAATTAACTTATATAATTTTTTTGTTCTTGATTTTTTGATAACCCTTTAAGTGCTAATATTTTTATAAGTACATATTTTATTAGTTAACATTACTATAATTTAAATATATATTTTTACTAATATAAAATCATTAGAACTATTAATTGCATTTTGCATTATAGCTAATGCAATGGCGTATTTGAGGGGGGGTGTTGAGGGAAATCGCCCTCCTCCCGAGAATTTTTAGACCAAGACAATTTTTATATAAGCAATGGGTATTTTATTAAGACAAAAAATTATGATTTATTTTATAGTATTACTACATTTGAAAACGTTTCAAATTTTACACTTATTAAATAACGCAAAATGCTAAATTTTTCATAACGTTTTAATTCTCAATAACGGTAAACGGAAAATTTTTAAACGTTTAAATTTGTATAATGTTTAAATTACCTATTTATAGCATTAAACTCTCAATTGCTTATAACGTTCATAGGATGTCCCATAACGATAAATAATATATATTATTTTGATTGAAGATCCAATCCATACTTAGTGAAAAATTAGATAAAACACAAGCGAAAAAGTGCATCCGGCATTAGATTAAAAAAAAAAAAAAAACTGCGAATATTAAGGATTGACCTGATATATTACCAACAATTTTACTTGTAAATTTTGAGCCTGAATTGAAGAAAAAATTTGAGTCGCCCCTCCCTAGAAGTAAGTCTAAATACGCCCCTGAGCTAATGAAAACTTTCAGGAGAAATTATGAAGTATGCCACTAGTTATTATTAGAGTATAAGTAACCTAATAATATAATATAAGAAAAAAAAAAACAAAAGATTCTTTTTTTAAAATTCACTTTTACATTTGTTTTAGTTTTGTTTTTTATATTTTTGAATGCAAATAAAAATTGTACTGTACTTCTAACAAAATTAGACTAACATGTAGTTTTAAATTATTGGAAAATTTTATAAAAATTGTTTTTATTTTTAACCATTATAACATATTATTAAATAATATATATATATATATATACTAATTTTCTACTAAAAATGTAGTATAAAATGATTCTTACAAGAATTTTTTCATTTGAGTTCAATCAGAGTTTTTAGTTTTTTTTACCTAAATAGTAAATACACATTTAGTTTTGATAATTTTGTTCAATTTAGTCCTGTTTAAATTAGTTTAAATTACATGGTATAAATTACTTTGTCTTAAATTGTTTGGGCTTCAAAAAATTATTTACATTTTAAGAAATGTAAACTTAAGCATATCAGTTATTTATGAATCCTAAATATTTTCCATGTTCTAAATACACTATAAAAACTATAATTTTATATAATTTTGTAATTAAATAGGTCAAAATTCTTAATATATTTAATGATTATGCTGCAAATATAGTAGTTGTTCAAAATTAGTTTCTCTTAATTGAAAACAAATAGGAATTTTTATTTGATATCGTAAATTTAATTTATTAAACTGTATAAATTAATTGTTAATGGTTTTGGTAGGTTAATAAATATTCTTTTTTTTTAATACATCCAGGGACGCATTAAAGGCCCATAACAAATTTCATGTTAATTAAGTTCAAAACAACAAAGTAGATGTTTAATTTTAAAATTGGAATTCTCAATGGGTCTTAAATATTAGCGCATTACTGACGATATGAATAAATCTGTAGAAGAAAATATTATGATAATATATAATTTTACTTATGTTTAAAATAAAATAATAAAGATCAAATCAATTATACCAATAGTTTTATTTCTATTGTATAATTGCTCTTTATTAAATATTAACATATTTTAACTTAGTATTTTACTTTAGTTTATATTTATAATTTTATAAATATTTCTTTAATGCTTTATTTATTTTAAAATTGGTAGAATAATACAATTTTTGCTTTCAAATTCAGATAAAATAAAGTATATAATATTCATAACATACTACTTATATTATGGATTCGTAATTTATTTAAAAGTAGAAGTGGATAGAAATTAAAAATTTAATTTACTGAGTGTATAAAAAATGAGAATACTTTATAAATTGAGATATGTGCATTTAGATTAATAATTTGAAATGGATAAAGTCAAATTAACTTAATTTCAATCTAATTTAAATTAAGTTACTATGATTAAAATGCAAGTTATTATTTCCACATTTCCACAAAAAGGAGTCGCAATCAACCTGTTGGACACCCCTCATCTATAAGAATAATTTTTTGTGATTTTTATGACAGTGAAATTTAACTCATGGCTGATTTTTAATCTAGAAATAAAATATATGAACACAATTTCAACCATACATAGAGAATAACCTTATTATATTGAGATGTATCTTAATGATAAAATGTTTCTATTATTAAGGATACAGAATGTTAATATTTTACAAATACCACTGGTCAAAGAATAAATTATAAGGTATTATTGTTGAGAAGAATACACCAACATGAATTATATTTTAAAATTATAATCGTACATAAAATATAATAAGGGATTTGTTGATAGTTATTACAATATGATGTCAGGAAAATCATTTTTTTTCTTATTAATTATTCAACATCCAAACTAAAAATCAATTATTTATAAAATATGATTATAAATTAAAAATTAAAATAATGCAATTTATTATTATACATTTAGACAATATAAGAAAAATAGATTTTGTGTAATAAGTATAAATTATAAAATTAATGATGTATAAGGACAACATAATTAAATACAAAGTTGGACAATATAATCTTATAACTAAAAAAAAAAAAAAAAATAATAAATAATGTCTTGATCTATTTGGAAAATTGGTTACAATTTTTAACCATTTTCTTTTCATCTATTTGAATATTTAATGTAGACTCACCCTTCTTGGCCGAAATCCATTGTAAATTTATCTAATCTTTTCATATCATCATCATTCACTGTAGGTTTAGATGTAGCCAGAGATCGTAACATATCACTCTATCAAAAATATAATTTGAAATATAAAATAGTCAAAATTAATTAATAATTTACCATTGATACTGGTGGCTCAAGTAGTTTATCACTGGGAACATCCATAAATGACATTTCAGCAGCACCAGGGCTACCTGGTGAACATGGTGTAAGCAAGTCATTTACAATAACATTTGGATCTGATCGACTAGGGCCTGATATTCGTTTAAAATGTGTAGCTGTTTGTACTTTTCGTACTGGTTGCATTAATGCATCTCTTACAACTATACTAATATCTGCTCCTGAATATCTGTAATTGACAATTGTTTTTATGAATTGGGTAAAAGAAGTGCATTTTTGTATGGGTAGTACCCTTCAGTTTTAGCTGCCAAAGTTTTAAGATCAACTTCGGTCAGTACATGGTAAGTGTTTCCCAAGTTTTGTTTTAACATTATTAGCCTGGCATGTTCTTCAGGTAAAGGTATGTAAATTCTCTTTTCAAAACGTCGTCGTATAGCAGCATCAAGAACCCAAGGAATGTTTGTAGCTCCCAGCACAAGAATGCCTTCGTTATCAGTACCAACACCTGAATATAATAAATTAAATAGAAATCAGATCAAATTAAAATAAATAAATTAAATAAATTACTAATATTACCTTGCATTTGCACTAAAAACTCAGTCTTTATTCGTCGAGCTGATTCAGACTCATTATCTGAACGCGAAGAACATAGTGAATCCACTTCATCAATGAATATAATGCTAGGTTTATGTTGTCTAGCTAATTCAAATAAATTTTTGACAAGCTTTTCAGACTCACCCAACCATTTTGACACAAGATCGGAAGATGAGACGGAAAAAAATGTGGAGTTATTAGCTTCTGTTGCAACCGCTTTGGCCAAATATGATTTACCAGTTCCAGGTGGCTAAGAAAATAATAAAATATAAATATTTGATGATATAATTATACTAAAATAAAAAAATTTAATCAACAATTTTACCCCAAATAATAATATTCCCTTCCAAGGTATTCTTTTACCAGTGAATAGATGAGGAAATTTTATTGGAAGAATAACAGCTTCTTTAAGGGCCTCTTTAGCTCCTTCTAAGCCAGCAATATCTGACCATTTTACACAAGGTTTTTCTACAACAATAGCACCTTCTAATTTATTTTGTAATTTTTTTGCTTCAGGGTCATCACCATCATCATCACTATCATTTTTTTTATCATCATTTCTTTAAAAAAAAAAAACCATATATATCATATTCTTCTAATAGTTTTTAAGTAAAAATTTACTTAGAATTAGATTCTCCAGCTTTAACTGGTTTCTTTTTATTTTTTCCATTTTTCAAATATTCTTTAAGTTTTTCAGCTCTTTCTAAATATTGTGTGCAACGACTTCGTATGCTATCTTTAGCTTTTTCCCCTTGAGTTTCATCTGTTGAATAAATACAAAATATTAAAAATAAAGTTATATAGCTATATACATGAATATCCTACTTACATTTAAGAGCATGCAAAAAATATTCAATGCCACTTTCATACAACTTTAGAGCTTCTTCATAATTTTTATTACGATCTTCTTCAGTGGCTTTAGTAACCAAATCAATTGCTTTCTAAAACAATAAATTATGGTTAAAAATGTAATATTTGTTGACATTTTTATAATTAACATTTAGTAGATATTATCTAAATTTAAACTATAATAATTTAATTAAGCATAGAATAAACATATACAAGTTTGATTAACGTGAATTTAATTTATCTCGCCTTATGTTCACAATATATAGGTTTTTTTTACTAGTAAATAGTTTTTAAGTCACATAATCTATTAACAGGAACCATTTGTGTACAAATTTTAGACAAGGAAAAATATAGATAGGAGAGTTCATATAAATACAATAATATAAACAAACATTGGATTAATTACCTGTAATGTAGCAGAAACTGCCATATTAATGAAATGAATTATAAATAAGTTGGTATTTAAAAATTCATTGACTTGATTGCTCAATTTTTTTCAGTATTCACGATAGTACGCTCATAGATCTATTAGGGAATTTCTAGAAAAAATCTTAGTTGATAACGATATGTTATTGCAGTGCGACCAACGGTAGAAATATATTCTATGAACATGACAACAGATGTCGTTATTTCGGGACATAGGACAGAAAATCATTGTTATTATTTGATTATTTGATTTTACAAGTAAAATTTTTTGTAAAATTTGTTTTATAATAAACGTCGATATTTTTTTTTAAGCTTGGAATCACTATCCGATGCTAGGGACATTTATTCTCAAACAGATCACGTTGGTTGACCTACTTTCCAAACGGACCACGGAGACGGCAAGCCTGTGTTCTGCGTAAAGTGGACCTACGGTGTTATTATTGTTTTTTCTTCTTTTTTTTTTGTTCGCTAACCAAATTATTCATTTTCACTTTTTTTTATCTTTCGCCTCGTGCGAAAAAAAAGCAAACACACAATAAGTAAGTTCGCCCGTCGAATTCGTCGCAACCCTTCGCGTCTTTTTGTCGCCGTCCATTTATCAGTGAAAACACCGTTGTTATAATATTCGCTTGCCGCCGACGTGTACACGCACAAAAGTTACTTTTTTCTTCCGTGGCTGTTCCGCCCGCAAGTTTTTTTTTATCAATAAAAGTTCTCATAAAAGTGTGTACGTGTGTACGTGCGTTCGTCATCCTTGAATAGCAAGTGCAACCAGTGCTAGTGGAAGTGATGGCCCATCGATTTACGTCATCATCGTTGCTGCTGTGGGCTGTGGTCGTACGCGTCGGGGAACGAGCATGACGGCGCAACTGTCGGAGTACGCGACGATGATGGCGGGCGATAAGAACGGCGGCGATGGTGGTAGCAGCAGCAACGACAGCGGTGGCTTTGTCACGGTCGGTGCTGATGGCGACGGAACCGCCGTGGCCGGCGAACGGGTGGTGTTGTTCGCGTTCAAAATGGAAGACGAAGATTGCGCGGCGGACGTGGACGACGACTCGTCGCTCGAAATGCAAGACGTGGGATTACAACCGTTGGTGTTACCGACGCAGTCGCCGCCGTCGCCGTTCTCCGATGGCGATCAAGGTAAAACGCGTATTTATCGTTTTTATTTCCCGACACACGCGTAAGAGACGTGTACCCCGTGGGAGGGGGCTGGGGATGTTTTGCGGTTCGCGTTCGTTGCACCGGACGTCCGGGTTTTCCTGTCGCCGGCAGATGGGTGACGACGGTTGCGCGCAACACTTTCTCTTTTTCTATTACGTGCGCCTCCGCTTTCTCCCGCACCTCCAACCCCGCCGCTCGTCGTCGTACGTTCCCTCGGTCGCCTCCGATCGCGCACCACCCCCGGCCAGGGTCCGATCGTGTGTGCTACTCGCGTACGGTTTCCGTCCGCCCGACGCACGCGCGCGGATACTCGTCGGCCGCCGGTTGACGGATACGTCGCACAGCACCTGTTGTGACCCGCGGCGGGCGACCTTATTGGTCAAGTTCATGCACACGCGGCAGAGCCTTGACTGTGGACACGGTGATTAGCTATTTTGGGCCCGCGCAGCGGCGGCCGGTGGAAACGACCGCGACCGTGTCCCGGTCGGTGCACGACCACTGCTGGTAGGGGAAAGCGTCGTTTCCCGCCGGTCATTGCTGGAGGGCACGGGGAGAGGGAGAAGGATACTTTTTCACCTGATGTCGCGACTCGTCTCCGGGAAAACGCGCACTGGAAACGTTCGACGCGTTGTTGTTTTACCCCTACACAGTATATCCCATTCGGTTTCACCGACAATGGGTTTTCACTTTTCATTGCCGTCTGGTCTGGTCCGCACGAAGACACTGCCGCTGCCGCCGACGGATTGCACGCGACGGGTTGTTGCTGCTGTTTTCGCAACCGTCGTACCACGGGTGCACATGGATGGTAATGTTGTACCGGAGGCGGCGGTCAAGTCGGTTGTACGAACATTGTTACCCGGTAGCACGTATGTTGCGCGACGGTAGCGGCGTTCGAGTTTGTTCATATCTCGTGTCTAACAGTAGGTAATAACGACACTCCAACCGGTACGATTTAATAATTTAATTTATTAATGTCATTGACGACGACGTATCTAATGCGTGATCGATGGGGCTACTGTTGTAAATGTTAGCGATTAGAAACGGCTTCAAATTTAATGCGTCTAACAAACGGTATGATAAGATTCGTTTATTTGTCGTATCAAAAGCGTTCCCCGTTTGTCTTGTAGTGTACATGCTACTGTGTACTGACACTAATCAGTGTCATTAACAGATAACATAAAAAAATTCATCTAGAATTATATGTAAATATATGTTTACTTACAAACAATGTTTTTCTACATGTTATGTACAAGAGCACGAGGCTAGTACATCTTCGAATCACCAAAAATTATGAATACCTATACGTCAACCGATCCACTCGTTACCTAGGATAATCACTGTATCTCGCAATGTATGTAGTGGCAAACTGTGCTTTAAGCTAATAAGCACATCTATCGTTATTAAATTTTTTAAAAATAGGAATCTATGATCTAAGAACAATCGTAAGGTAAAATAATAATTTTTAGTAATTTTATTAAGTTATAGAAGTTAAATACAATAATGATTTTGATGTCAGTTTTTTTCGAAATTGTGTATTCATATAGTTGTTAAATAGTATTATAATTAATTTTTTTGATACTACTTGAGGTAAGTATTGTTTATCGAATGTGATAATCGTTTTGTTTCGCTATTTGTGAATGGATTTCAAAATGAATATCTTAGCATATTACTGCTTATGATTTTAATATTTTTTTTATGACTTAATCTATAAAAAATTTCGAAATGGTTATTTTTCTAGTCAAAAAGTATCTTTTTAGAGGCTTTAAAGGAGAAAAAAATGTTCATGATTATTCACAAAAAGATAAGTTATTTTTTTTTCCAGCATATACATTATAAATTTTGATAAGCTCTAAGTTTGTTAAAAATAGTTTTTGGAGAAAATTTAAGTTTAAAGTTAAGATATGTTTTAGCATCGAACGGCTAGTTTTTTTTTTGCTTTAGACAATTCACTTACGCCGTCCAAAATTTTGTTTCTTGGCATTCAAACAACCGTGGGAAATGAAGTTTGGATTTCATTGTGGATCTGTACTTTATACCCGCCTTTAGGTTTCCGATTTTCTAATTATGAATTTCTAGAAGAACCTTCTTTATTTTATATTTTAGTTATTTGTATTTCAGTATAATTTATATTTCCTTTTATAGTTGAAAATATGAGAGTTCTGAAGTAAGGATTACCGTATACTGTTTTTAATCGTTCCATGTTACTTTTTATAAAACTATGCGTGACTTATAGTGTTCACTTTGATTCAATACGCTTTGTGGTAGTAAATATCTTAACTGTATGATACAGAAATGTTAAATTTAATAGAGGGTAGATTTAGGAATATGTTACATATGATACATTATTATTTTATTATTTTATACATTTATTTTTTTAAGTATTTAAGTTAAGAAAAACTATACGCATTTTTGTTATTTAAGTCTGTGGTTATAGTAAAAAATGTTATAAAATGCTAGTTATATTTAAAACCAAGTATAAGTCGTCATACTTTCCTGTTCTGTTTCCAATAATTTAACGGTAAATTTATTTAAAAAAGTTTGGAACTATAACTAGTTTTTAGGTTTTTTTTAGCATTTAATAGTTTTACAAAAAAATTGTTTTTAATATTTTTTATATAGATATGTTGATATTATAAACGACTTAAACACTACTAGGAATTCATTAATCTAAATAAAGCTTTTATCATTCAGATCATCTATAATGAAATAAGTAAATAAAGTGATTATTCTTTATTTTTTTTTAATTTGGCTTTATTTATCCTGTAAATATAGTGTTTTCGATGATATCAGTTTAATTTTTTTCTTGTTAATTTAATTCTTTAAACATAAGCTATGTTTAAACTAATATTAATATAGATTTTAAAAATACCTAATTATAGTACCTAAAATATTAGCAAATATGTTAGATATAGATTTTACGTGTATTACAGATCTGAAGAAAGTACATAATATTTTGGCTTTTGCTCACAAAATTATTAACTTATTTATCAACAGATATGTTGGTCAATAATTTAAGATTATTATAAGCAACGTTTTCATATGTATTTTTCATTTATTTCTTGGACATAGTAATGGTATTTTATAATTAATTATTTTATGAAACTATGCAACTAAGTAGTCAGTAATGAGTTAGTGGAATAAGAATGTAATATATTGTTTTTTGAGAATAATTCATATAAATTGTTTATCTCGCTTTGTGTGTATAGGTGTTGAGACATTGATTACATTTAGTTGCTTATGTATGGTATTTGGATATTCAATTATGTACAATTATTATATTTTTCATTATTATCACTTCTTAGTATTATTATTGATTTTTGAGTATAAAATCAATGAATGTGAACTGTGATTCTGAACGAAACTGATTTTTTCCAAAAATATTCCTAATTCCCAATTATTATAAAATGCATGAATTTATATCACTTATTTTTGAATTATCAAAAACTTAATAGCTAACATTTTTTCATACCAGTAAATAATTATTGCACCACTTCAAAAATGCAAATTTTAATGTTTTGAGAACATTCATTGAAATAATAAAGATATAATTTAAATCATAGATTGTGCCTATTAAAAGAAACAAAATATTTCGTTTGAATTGTTGACCCACAACAGTTTATGATTTTCCCCCATTAGTTCTAGAAAAGGGAGGAAAGATTAGATTATTATTGGACGCATCCGGACCTCAATTGACCAAGTTACCCGTTGATAATAAAGGTTAAGCTATATATTAATAGGTCATAATCTTAAATACTATCCAATATTATTAATTACTAAAGTAAATAAGATACTAAAACGAAATTATAAATTTAGGGTAATAAAATAGCTGTGGTATCATATTAAGATAATGATTAAGATGTTTTAAACTATGTGTCATATCAGATTTCCTCCAAAATATGTTTCTATTTTTATTTTATTTTCTTTGAAGTTGTACTAATACGAAGAATCAATGATTGGTATATTAACAGCACATGTAATAAATATTTCAAATCTAATGCAATTATAAAACATTAATAATTTTTTTTCTTCTTTTAACAGTTCATGCATGTTTGTAGATATATAAAATATTTAATTATTTACCTATTATATGTACATTATGATAACGCCAATTTTCGTAATACATTCATCATGTACTAATTACTTTTTTTTAACAATTAAATTTATATTATGAAATAAATGTTTGATTTAATTTACGAAAATAATAAGGACGACAAGAATTATTAAATGTTTATTGATTTAAATATTTAGTTAAATTGTTATAACTCGGTAAAATGCAATTGTATATTTTGTATTTGTTTGTAACGTATTTATTGAATTGTTATTAATAATCTAACGTAAACATATTCTTTATATAAATATTCTATTCATTTTTCATAAATAATCTGTTGAATTAAAAAATATAAGCTTATACAATTTAAAATAGTGAATCAGAAACAATTTGAAAATAAAACCTTATCTGAAATTAACTCTTTAAAGTTATTATTGAACAATAATTGTAACAATTGTGTAACATTTTTTAGAAAATAAAGAAGTAAGAAATCACTAAAAATATGTTGATTGAAGTTTTGAGTTGAATGAATTAATTAATGAATGAATGAATTAATGAAAATATCATAGAAGCTAATTTTTTTTGACTATTTATTTATTTAATCATACTTAATATTATATATTATAAAAAAATATTTTAAAATTCTTAATTATTTATCTGATAGTAAATGTTTGTTTGAACTAAAATGAATTAATAATTTAGGTAGCATATATATTAACATCTCAATTTATAAAGTTGTAACGATTTTCTACATTTCTTATGTTTAAAAATATTTCACCTATATCACTCACCCATTTCTTTATCTCAACCAGACGGTTGTTATCGCCCCTTTTTATTGTATAAGCTTATTGGTCTGAAATAAGGAAATATGTTATCAAAAACAAGTGTTTGTACTAAAAATGCTCTTACAACTATTGTCCCTTAATATTAT